ATGATCAAGTGCTTTTGTACTACATTCATCATCTAGGTGGCCTGGCGTTGACCTAAGCAATAGGATAGATCCATCTCTTTTTGGTGGCTTCAGCTATTTATTGATTACCCCGAAGGATCTGGAAATCATCAGATAAGCTTAGCTATTTGTCCTGCATTTATCTACCTATTGATTACTGTTCATAGATAGAAATTAACCGAGAGAAACGAATAGTTCACAACAAGCCCATGATCTCCAGTTTGTGGCTCTCTGAATGTTTTTTGTGCTTTCTTTAGGTTTTCTTTTGTAATTATAAGGGAATGTCATTCCTCGTATACATTCTTTGGTAGGATGGAAATAATGGTAGTTCTCTCCATATTACCAGAAAAATTTGAAGGCCTTAATTATAAACTTGCAGTTACATATTCTCTTAGTTTGTTGTATGTCACTATTTTGTAGCAATGTTACGAGCAAGGTTTGTCATATCGTGACGTCTTGCTCGATATGGGTGGTATATATCACTTGGATAGGGGACCGGTATAGGCGGTACATATCAGTTTATTAGTATGCCCCGTCATATAATGTGTCAGTATGTCGGTACATATTATACCGATAGCCGGTCAGTACATTGGTACTAACCGGTAAGGTGAACCATGATTACGAGAATTGATCCATGGATCATGCATGACACTCGGCTTGGTAATTTTGCCAGATGATTATTTTTTTGTTGTCATTACAAGTTTCCCAGAAAATGTCATTGACCTACCAACTATAAAAGTGTTTTTGGCAAGGAATAAACAATTATATAATTTAATGAATATTTTATATTTTCTGAACTTTGTATTACATAACTGACTTTTTTATTAAATGCCAGGAAAATTATATCAACTATCGACCAACTTCTATTGGCAAGGATGAGAATGGAGTTAAAAGAATGCAATTCCTTGCACAGGCTGCTGAGTCTATAGGGGATGGTGATATATTCAATGTTCAGATCAGAAGATATCGGCAGTGGCAGCTTTCGCAATCTAGTTCATTTGCATCCTGTATAATCCCGTATGTCAAACTATAACTTGACGATTCTCTCGTTCGTGACATTGCTCAACTTACTGCATAGGATGACGAATCTTAAGTTTGTCTATTTGTTTGTATTTTATTTTGCCAGGGCTGCTTTGATGCATGGGCATCGAGAGACCCTTGAACCGGTACTTTTCCTTGTTCTTATTCCAACTGAAAACTCTTACCTGGAAATGAAAGTCTCTTGAAGTTTTTTTTCTCCTGTAGTTGCTTAGTTTATCAGTCATCTCTTGGAGTATATCATCTTGACTCTTGAGGCATTTTTACTGCCAGCATTTGTCTTAATTTTGCATCAGGAAGCATGCTATCAAGATTCTTCTCACATAATAATTATCATAGGGTCACCAAGAAAATTTTATATGATTGCCATTCGACATGGGCTTACGGCTGCTGCTAGATTTTACCTTCAACCCTTCATGGGTTTACTAAGAAAATTTTATTGTGACGTTGGGTTTTATCTGTGCGACTACTACTATAATAACCACCTTATATACTTTTAAGTGAATTTTATGGAGACCAATGTTGTTTGCTCATTCTATATTGAGGTTGAATTCATGGTAAAAAGGAAATTGATATTTCTATTCATAGGTATCTTAACATGTTGTCTTGACAGATTGCCTTGCACCAGTGAAATTATTTGATAAGATTTTGGTAGCCTCATTCTAGTTGGGGTTCAACTTTCCTATTTCTCAAATTATTTGTTCTTTTGAACTTATTTCCATGCTTTGTGTCAGTGTCATCACTAGAAATTCTACAAATCGGTACCTTTCATGTTATTTTCTGTATATGTCAAAGAATGCATGATTCTTTTTCGAAAATCTGAACAGCAATATGAAACTCAGGCATTTTGAGTTTAACATGGTCTAAAATGAAAACAGGGTAAAACATCTAGTTGTGGTTTAACCAGCATTGATATCTTGGTCTGATAATTACTGTTGGGATACAGAATTGTAAATTCGTGTCAGTTTGTTCTGTAAATTATGAACTTCACATACTTTTGTGGGTTGGTTGGATTTTTCTTTTCTTTTTTTGGCAGATGTTGAGTGGTGAGGATGGGATTTAATCATTGGACCATGCTATCAACAGTCAAAGTGGTTGTATTTTGATTCTATGTGCCTATTTGATTGTCTTGCTTCTGCATATCATTTCCTCATCCTGGTAGATGTTTCAGATATGTGACCAATGAAGATGTTCTTCTTGTTCATAATTTGCATTTGCCAAGTTTTCACCCTCATTAATTAACTTCTATATTATACAAGCTTACCTGCTGGCAATTGCAATTATGAAAAATTGCTATAGCCTGCTTTAGTAGGAGCATTTCTGTAGCTGATCCAGCCTAATGGGAGGTAGACCTGATAATGATGAGATCCAATTCAATACAAAATACGACACTTTGGACTAAATTCACGATGCAGGAAATATGATCTCTTGCTTCTTGCCATTATTGGACTGATGTAATGCTTGTTTATTTTTCTGTCTTCTGGTTTTTGACTGTCTATGATTGTACCAATTTTGTAGGTCTGTGTGAATCAAGAAGTCTTTTTACTCACAGATTTACTTGGTTTGCAGGGAGAACGCAACTTTAATAGGTTTGGCGGATGGCTAGGGAAGAACTCGACAATGGGAAAGAATTTGCGACTTTTGGAAGATGTTCATGTTCACTTTCTTGCATCACAGGAAGCTAAGTTGGATAGGTAGCATATATGATTTCTCATATTAAGTATGTTTACTGTATATGTTTTGAGAAAATGAGTGTCTTTAGAATCTTCTGGTTCTTTTTTGTTATTGCTATCGTTTGCAAAGTTATGGTCAAAATGTAGTTCTTTATTTTGATGTGTCTGTTGGTTTTTAGTCTTTTGAAATCAAAAGAACAGTTTTCCTACCTTCCAATGACTTACCTGCCTCTCCTAGCTGCCTCATGACAGGAGTGGGCCTTACATTGGACCACACCTGGGGCCTTTGCTGCGTCCAAATACAAGGCTGGTAGGTGGGAATGGAGAAGTATATTTCAGATTAAAAATAGTGGTTTACTATCTGATCATTTGTTTTTGCTTCGAGCACATCGTGCTATTTTTTTTGTTCTTTTAATAGTTTATCCTTTTTGTAGGACAGACTTGTGGAGGGATTTATTAAGGATTTAGGATTGAAGAAATGTGAGAATATAACAAGGAATTTGCTGGAATTTTTAAGCTAAATTTATTCCAAAAATCAGATTCAGTTGGATTGTCAGCGAAAACTGTTGTCAGAAAACACAATAGATAGAATGTCAAAAAGGTGAAATATAAAAGTTACTGGAAAGGGACAGAGAATGGTAGGTTACGACTCTAGTGTAACAATAGAATGATGGACAAAAAATCATTAAAAAATAATTTGAAAAATAGAAAATACAATTTGATTTGACTTAAAATACACTTTACTAATTCCAAATTCCAAAGATTAACTCCAGAGTTTGGCTTGGACTCATCCGTTAGCTCTACTTGAACACTATGATCTTCCTTTATAAAAAAACAAAAAACAAAATTTCGGATGAAACTCAATAACTATTGGCATCCATTTATTTTAGATCAATCATGAGTTTTAGATGATTCACAATAACCATGGACAAAAGTATTTGCCTTTTGATGCAATGGTTTTGGCCACCTCATGTTTCTGCTGTGAACTTAGTATACAACAGCATATCCTTTGTTGATATCCAGAAATTAATTTTTTTGACTGTCCTTGGATCTCATGGGGTTGTCAAGTTTGTGGGTACTTTAAGCAGTAATAACAAAGACATGTCTGAATGAGTCTTTTCAGACCTCAGTAACTGATTTCTGCAATGCCACCTATTTAATTCATAGTAACTTGTATTGTTTGGAGTTGATCTCCTGACTGACATTTATGTATGCTATCCAGTGTTAACTGAACTGAACATCTATATTTACCTCAATACATTAATTTTTTCAAATGAAGTGGACTTTTATCTTTTTTAGCCGTCATTTAATATATTTGTCTTATGCAAAATTGTATTCAATATATAAACGGTCAGGGCAACCTTGCGGGTGGACTACTTGACTCTTCTATTGAAACAGCTTACAGATCCTCTTCAAATGATGCCTAAGGTCTGATTACCTTCCATATGCTTCATTTACAAAATATGTTCTGTTTATAGGATAGTGGAATATTTTGAAGTATCTAATAATATCTGGAACACTATCAGGAAGTTGCTGTTCAGAAGGTTGTGGAATTCATGGATGCTTATTCTTTAACTCAAGAAGACTTCGACACAATTGTGGAGCTATCCAAGTTCAAGGTTTGTCTGTCTCATGTCACATTCAGGAATCTAAGAAATGGTCACTTTTCAATTTCACTAGCTAGTAGTCGATGTATATTCTTCTTTAGAGATCCTTTTTGTATGTGGTGCTAATATTTATCCTTGACGTCAATCTAGTTACAAAATGTTTGTTTGTTTTTTCTTATTCTGATGGTTGTCATTTGACATAGGAAGAATTTGACATCATGGGCTAACAGGTTGAGTTTCTGTTTTGAACAAACTGTCCTAGTAACATAATAATGTGAATAAATGGCTTTTACTGGAGCTACTTTAAGATCTAAAGACATCCATACATATTTACATGTGCACACAAACTCGTATGATTAGTTTTCATATTTTTATTTGTTCTCTCTGCATAGGCAGTGTTGTAAAATTAATGTGCCAACAGGGTACAGGCTGGCAGTTACATTTTGGTGTGTTCGATCCCTGTCTCTAAACACAGCATATGCTTGAAGGTGGGTTATTGTTTGGCCATTTAGCTTATTGCACCTACTGGCTAGTTCAGCACAAGCTATATTTTATTATTTTTGTGTTTGACATCACATACATGTAATTGGGCTCTTTGGAAGTCTTGTAGCTGGCCTTCTAGCTTATTGTGCATGATGGTAGCTCCTTCGCCTAATAGATTTGCTCAATCTTCCTTTAACACTTGTGGAGTTTTCATTGGTTGCTCAATTTGTTGTTTGAGCTTTAGTTAAATCAAGATTGCATATCTCTCAACTTTAACAGGTTTTATGTCAGACCTTTCTAATGTGAACATGTGCCTTAATAATGCATTTATGTATTTCCAAGTTGGAGATTTATTTAATCGAAATATTATCTATGTATTTAAATACATGTATACTATATGTGATTTGAGGATCTGTTGTGTGCATGATGCCAACAGACAGAATAACTAATCCAGTAGTGGTGGTGCACTTATTATATTGCATACCATTTCAAAAATGTGTTTATAATTTAGTTCTGCTAAAATTCAAAACTGAATCACCATAATTGTTCGATTGCAGGGACATCCGAATCCCATGGACAACATTCAACCAGCAGTGAAATCTGCACTAACCAAGGCATATAAGCAAGGAAGCAGCTCCCGTGTTGTGCGATCAGCAGATCTGATAACACTTCCGGGCTTGAAAAAGGCTCCGAAGAAGCGTATAGCGGCAATCTTGGAACCTGTGGAGGATGGTGTATCTGAAGAAAATGGAGAAGCTCTAGCGGAAAATGAAGAAGAGAATTCTGATTCAGAAGATGCAGGTGAGCGTTTTTCTTCTGTACTACTTGTACACTTGCTGAGTGGCTGTGTGCCCGTTTTGTGTTGTCTGCTTTACATTTTCATGATCAAACTGGTTTAGAAATGTATCTATATGATTCAATGTCACTTTCTGATTGTGGATTTTATATCTACTACCTGTTTCAGATGATCTTGGACTTGGTACAAATGCCGATCAGAAGCCACAACTTGATCTTCTGAGCAACAAACCGAAGGGTTAGTTTTGAATCTTTTAGATACATTTTCACTCACTCCTTCATCATTGAATTGGATATTTTTAAATGTGTACATAATTCTTTCTCACGGTTCATCTTCCTGATTTGTTTTGTGATTAGGAGTCCAAGTGCAGCTTGATTTGAAGAACAATGGAAAGTCAAATGTGAAGAAGAAGACCCCTGCTAGCAAATCAAGAGCTTCGGAGCCTGCTGACAAGGGGGCACAAATGTCTGGAAGTAGAAAGAGGAAAAAATAGACTCTTGCTTATGTCAAAGGTGAAACATGTTTATCTTCAAATTTTGGATGGCTGCAGACACACCCAACATGCTTGTTTTTATTGTAGTTTCCATGTTCCAAGTTTAGTGTACATCACCTTTGAATTGACCCGAGAGTCGGCAGACACCTTCTTCTGCCTTGGTTCTTTTTCATTTCGTTGTCCTATATTATTGACAGATGCTGAAACGATCACGCTGACCCAATTCACCGAGGATCCGTCACGCCGTTTCTGTTGTCTTCCGTTCAAGCAACCACAAGAAATTAATTCTTCCTTGGGCGGTTGGGGAAGTGGAATGCACTAACCTCTCCTCGGCATGGCAGCCTTGGCCTGCGTGTCCTTCGTCGTTGACCCTGCACCAGTTTGATGCTGCCGCTGCCGCCGCCTCCGATGGGAACAGCTTGGCGTCAAACCCCTGCACAGATATCCTCCCATCGGTATAGATGTCGGGACCCAACAAGTACGCCAACTCCTCGCCAGACCCGAACTTGATCAAACCCCCCACCGCACTGCACTGCAGTGTGGTTGATTTTTTTTCAAAGTAGTACGTCCGTAAAGGATTAGCTTTCTTAAATCTCTTATCATCCTTTAAAGATTTATAAAATAAATAAAGAAAATATTTAACTTAGGATTCTATAAGTATATATTTCAGTAAATATTTGATATGTAATTTAAATTATAAATATAAATTTCGTAAGTTCTGAACGATTATATAACAAAAGGTCTAAGGAAGCTTAAAAATTTTTCGCAACTACTCATATAACTGTTACAAAATAAGACTGTGAATCAATTTTAAGGACTACCCATCCGTGTGTGTTGAGTGACACTTTGTACAACTCTATAGAGATAGAAAATTTCTAAAATGATTATTTGGATAGTTTATTTTTAGGCAGTTTTATCTTTTCATGACGACCGCACACAATTTACATTTATAAGAGTAAAACGATCACAAAGTTAATCAAAATAGGATTGTTAAGCTTATTACATGCCCTGTACATGCCGTGCAAAGCATGAATAAAATTGAAAGACTATAGACGTTACATTTCCTCTCCTTTGTTGAATATTCAATCTTTTGCTCTAGTTGCAATGTGCTTCTTGGCTCCAATTTGCTTTCCACTAGTGTTGTTGGGTAGTTGAACGTTGATCTGTCCATTTTGATTTAACTCGCTAATGATTTTAACTTTGGTATAGGGTCGGTCAAGTTGTGTTGCTCTTTTCTGGTTCTTACGAATCCTTTAAATGAGGGAAAAAGCCTTGCTATTCGTTAGTCTCTTAAACGTCTCATGTCGCTTGAATTGGGTGGAGGCTTGTTGAAGCCTTAATGAGTATTGTCTCATAAGCTTTTAAGTTTTTGAGGTCTTTTCTTCGTAAAATTTATTCATCAATTCCTCTTCTACTTAGTTGTCACCTTTAAGTAGGTTTGTATCACTTACACATTCGATTGATATTTTATTAAAAAATAAAGTGGCAATTTATTCTCGGTAGAATCGATCATTATTGGTAAGGATTTGATAACTATTGTTTTAAACTAAGTTTTTTCGAATGGTCTTTGAACATATGTAGAGCCCCTTTGCTAGATAAATAAGAGAATTGGGGGTGCTTGATTTCACCCATTCTCTTAAGAGTTGAGAAGATAAATGTTACTATACTTCATGCATTAAGTTAGTTATTAGCTTTTGCTTACTCTTTACTCATACTTTTGAAGCACTCAGAGTATTTACACTCCTTACATTGAGTTAGCTACTATAATTCGTTTCATTATCATTAAACTTTTAGAATGCAAGAAGTTTTATCCAAAAACATAAAATTTTATCTTGAGTTAGAGAAAGTCTCCGATAATTTTGGTCACCTTTAGAATTATATCATCTTCTCCATCATTTCTATCTCTTATACCTCTAAGTAGAAAAATGTACAATATCATATACTACCTACTTCATTTCTTAGTTGAATACTCTTATATTAACCTAAAGTCCACTTTCAGTTATCTTGATTAGAAGCTTGCTAATATTGGTCTTACAAAGTTTCTTAACCTCTGCTTTAGTACTTGGAGTTTGCCTTTGTATTATCTACTTTCTCGGTCTCCTTCCACAACTATGTACTCTCTTTCCAAGAGAGCAAGGGATTGATGACTCTACAAAAGTCCCACCTTTGTGGTACTATGTTGCTACCATTCTCATAGCTATACTTTTTGTCACCTTACATTTATGTCCCATTTTTTGCGATTGGTAGATTTGCCTTTGCAGCATTATAATACTCCTCCGAGTTCACCTTATCCTAACTGACACTTAGTTTTGGGTGGCTAAGTCCCTCTAGACTCGTTGTTGCTTTCTCGTCCCTTTTGACCACTTACTTCAACACTTTTGTATTCTCCAAGCAATTCCCTTGGTTGATGGAAAGACAGATTACAATTCCCATGTATGGCTTTTGTCATCATGCTATAGGGCTCGTGTCGATTCTATTCTCCTTTACGTCATTGGTAGCAATGTTTATGCAGTCGACCTTGTTCTCCAGCTTATCGAGTTTTCTCAAGCAAATATGAGCCTCAGAGAAATCTAACTCCCTAATTACTCTGATCATACCTCTGTATGATTAAGGCCCCCCCTTTGACTTACTAGTACTTGCACTTAAAATTTTTGATTAGTGGTACACAAACCCGTCTCTTTTACTCCTTCAATTTATAGCCCTTCTTACCATCATGTTAATCATCGAAGTAGAGCTCCTAGTAGCTCTCAATCATACCTCCGTATGATTAAGATTCCTCATGAGAATTCTCTCATGTGTGTTGTATTGCCTCAAACTGTTCCATCATGACCCACTGCATCATGTCACCTCTTAGTGGCATCTTAATTACATTATGATCTTTGTGTGATAAACTCAGACTATGATCTCTCTATGTATGACCTCTGCCAGCACATCGCAAGCTTTTGTCACCTCTGATTGTGTTCGTTTATTTAACAATCAACATTTATCCACTCACTCTTAGGTCACACATGGACAAAGCATTGTTGAATCTCGGATTTTGATGATGAAACCAATTGACAGTGCTTATTTGATCTACATTTTGAGTGACGTAGGAAGCTTCGATTATGGAGAGACAATTAAGGCAGAAAGAATCATGTTGGGCTGGAATGGAATATGTCAGAAGATTGGACGTCGAGCCGGAGGATCGATCGACGTATCGGCAGAAGGCTACGGGCCATGGGTTTAGGCATCGAGCCAAGAAGAGTGAAAATTATGCTACGGAAATCGAAGTTGCGGAGGTCAACTGGCCGATTGGGCAATTAGTTACGAGAGAGGACGATGCGTCGAAGAATCGGACGAAGCATCGATGAACCAATGACATGCCGGACAATATTTGATTTAAGCCTTGTAATAATTATCTAGATCAAAGTAGGTTTTAAGTGTGCATGATTAACTACAATAGCAATGCATAAAGTAAAATGAAGTCCTGGAGTTAAGAACGAGATTTCGTTGGGAGTTCGAGAGTTTGTCGGAAGTCCGGACGTTCATCGGAAGTTCTATCAGAATTGACCGAGAAGTCCAAGAGCTTGCCAGAAAAGCTCGTCGGAACTCGCTAAGAAGATCATTGTGAAGTCCAGGAGCTTGCCGGGAGATCGCCGGAAGCTCACCGGAAGAGACATAGACTTATCAGACTTATTTAGCTTTGTGCATGTCTTAAAATTCGTAGTTAGCACATTTGGGTTAGAAGTGGGCTAAGTCAATTAGGAGCCAATTGGGCCCAAGTTTAGGCTATGTTGGGCCAAGTGGAAGGCCCAAATAGTGACCCAACAAGTGGAACCATCGTGGCATAGTCTCCGAGACTATGTCAGGCAGTGGTACCGCCGGTCTGGGCGGTGGTACCACCCAGACTCAATCTCCGAGACTGTCAAGCAATGGTACCGCCTAGACATAGTCTCTCAGGCGATGGTACCGCCAAACTGGTGTTAGGATTAAGAGAGACACTAAGATGGGGGGTGAATTAGTGCAGCGAAAAACTTTTTCGATTTCAAAAGTCTTTGTTTCGATTAAAATTGATTCCGAAGAAAATCGTTTCGATTCAATCCGTTTCGGAGAGAAATTGAACTTGAAATTTTTCATAAAAGTGCAAGAGAAGATTAAGGAAATTTACAGTAATGTAAATTGCACAAATGGAAAGCAAACCAGAATTTAGAGTGGTTTGGTCAATGTGACCTACATCCACTTTCGGATTCCTCCTCCATCGAGGTCACCGACGTCCACTAAAGGCCTTCCTTCAATAGGTAAAGACCAAACACCTCTTTATAGCGCTTTCTCCTTTTTCCGAGTTTAGGAGATAACCCTTACAAATCTCACTCCACTTTCTTGGATGTTTACAAAGCTAAGAGAGGGAGGGGAGGACTCTTTCTAACTTTTACAATACTTAATGCCTCAAAGATTCAAGAAGATGTTTAACACTTTCGTGCCCTTTCATGCAAAAAATGGTAGGGTTTTTATAGGCCTCAATGACTTTAAAATTGGAGCCAAAAAGTGTCATATCCCTGGATTTCGGGGTACTGGCGGTACCACCATCGTTACTGGGCGGTACTACTGTCGTTGGTCTGACACTGGGCGATACCACCGCTGGCAACATTCACTATCGGCAGTACCACCGCCCAGACAACCTAGGACTCTATTTCCTAAGCGGTGCCACCGCCGACCATGTTTTCAAGGGCTGAATGTGGTACTCATTTCAGCCCTGTTAAGGGCCCAATTAGCCCTTAATTAAGTTAGTGGGATTACCTCTCAATCCTAACTTAATTTATGCTCTAACTACGATAATTATGACATAATCATAGCACTTCTTGTTCCGGTGCGTTAATTGCTCTTCTGGTGAACTTCCGGCGAACATTCGACGAACTCTCGACAATGTTCCGACGGACTCCCAGCAAGCTCTTGGACTTTACGACGATCTTCTTGGCGAGTTTCGATGAGCTTCTTAAGCAAGCTCTTGGACTTCTTGATTGGTTCCGATAGAACTTCCGACGAATGTCCGGACTTCCGATGAACTCTTGAACTCCCAATGAGATCTCGATCTTGACTCCGACATAACACCTGCTTTATGTCTTACTGCTATTGTAGTTAATCTTGCATACTTTTCTCAACATATAGATTATATCAAACAATTTACAATTGACT